TCTGTCTCTGGTGAAGCCTCTCACCGCCCCTGAGCCTCTGGCCTGTACCCCAGTTCTGTATGTACAAATAAATAAATCTTTAAAAAAAAAAAAAAACTAAGATAGGGCCCTCCTGGATGGCACTGTGGGTCAAAGCACAGCACTAAAAAGCTAAAGCCACTTCCACATGAGTTCGATCCCACCTGCCCCGGAGGTGATGCACATGGTGCTGCAGACCTCTCCTGACCTGCCCACTGCTCCCTTCAGCAGTGTACTTCGTCAGCTAGCCTGTTCTGCTCCCCACTCTGTCTCTGGTGAAGCCTCTCACTGCCCCTGCACCTCTGGGCAGTACCCCAGTTCTGTATGTACAAATAAATAAATCTTTTTAAAAAATCTAATATTTATTTTTTAATTAGTTAATTTTACATCATTCTTAATTTTGTGTACTTTTTTCATCTCAGTTGTAATCCCTATGGACTTACCACCACAAATTCACCCATGTGCCATCACTATAGTCCTGTGTGCTCTTCCTAGTTTAGATCCTTTTCTTCTCTCCATCCTTGTAGAATGTCTAGTTTATAGTTGATCATTGTTTCTCATTTTTACCTTATTACAATTGCTTCCTCCCTCTCCCCTGGTCCCTTATGCTCCTACTGTGAGTGAAACCATCTGGTATTTTTCTTTTTCTTTCTGGATTATTTCACTAAACATGATTCCTCCCAGCTTCATCCATGTTACCACACACACAAAAAAAGTTTATCTTTTTTGACTGTCAGCTGAGTAATATTCCATTCCGTATATGTACCACATCTTCTTGATCCAGTCATCTGTCTTTGGGCAGTTGGGTTGATCCACATCTTCTATATTGTAAAGAGAGCAGCAATAAACAGGTATGCAGGTGTCCTTTGGGTAGATACCTAGGAGTGGGATTGCTGGGTCATATGGAAATTGAGTCATTTTTAACAGTTTGAGAAACCTCCAAACAGCTTTTCATAGTGGTTGGACCAGTTTACATTCCCACCACCACATCCAACTAGCTGTTGCTAGTTGTTTTAATATGTGCCATTCTCAGTGGTGTGCAATGGCATCTCATTGTGGTTGTAATTTGCATTTCCTTATTACAAGTTATGCTGAACACTTTTTTTTTCATATGCATCTTGTCTATCAGCATTTCCTCTTTGAAGTACTATCTTTTTAGCTCCTCTGCCCATTTTTTTATAAGTTAATCTCACTTTATTTTATAAATACATTTTTTTACATTGTTCATTTTGTACATTTTTTTCATCTCAGTTGTAAACCCACCATCACTTCACCCATGTGCCATCACTGTAGTCTCAAGTGATCTTCCCATGCCAGTTTCTATCTTGTTCCCTTTCCTCCCCCATAGAATGTATCTGGTTTATAGTTGTTAGTTAATGTTCTTTTTTACGTTATTACAATCTCTCCCTATGTCTCTGTCTCTCTGTCTCTATCTCTCTCTAGATATATATGTTATTCGTGATCCCTTACACTCCTGCTATGAATGAAACCATCCAGTATTTTCCTTTTTTTTCTGGTTTATTTCACTAAGCATGATCTTTTCCAGTCCCATCCATGTTGCTGCAAATGGCACGAATTTATCTTTTTTGAT